AAACATCAAATCTCTCACCAGATTTTCAGCAGCAGTATCTTCATGTTGCACTGAGGAATATTCGGCCTCGTCTTCCATGGTGCGGATGCGCAGAAAGGACAGACCAAACTGTGACTGTTTGTTGAAAGGCTGAGTGCAAGTGACTCGAAAATCAACTGGACACGGACACATTTAAATCATTACCTCAGTCTTTCAATGCCAATGAACACAATTAAATCGTACGCACTTGCATTAAGAACAAAACAAGGTGGACATGATTAGAAAAGGCTAAATGGTCTTTAAAAAACAGTTACACTTGTGATCTTCACAGTCAAAAATGACAGGAAATGAATGGGAAAAACAAAAACGTACAAAAATACATATACAGTTTTTTGACTAATCAGTCTTGATGCAGTAGTATTTGAAAATATCTAAATATATATCCAATGCCTTGAATGTGTGGATTTTACATAAATGTATCCTATTTTTAACTTCAATTTTGCATTAATGAAATATTTTCTAGTATTTACATTATTTTATATAGAAATAAATGATGCATCATTTAGAAATGAATATTGTTTAGTACTATGAAATCCACTCAAAATACAAAATATTACAGTAAAAATATTATTGAAATAAAATTTAGAGCATTAATTCAAAAAAATGTCTTTAGTCTGTTTTGACCACAGAGAATCACAAATGCGACCTCTAAGTGAGGAATAGCGGAGGGTTGAGTTTGTAGCAAAGGTGAGGGATTTGCATGTTTTATACCTTTTTTAAACATGCTCACATTTTGACGGCCAGTGCCCTGTTTCGAGTCCACTGGACTCATGAGTGTTGCAGTGGGCAGCAGGGTGACATAAAGATGGTCTGATGACCAGGAGGAGCGGCCGACATCAACCTGAATGAACGCAGAGCCACAGTTGTCTTTACAAAGAAAGACAGGAATATCGTGAACATTAATACGCCAAGAATACATATCAGATAATAGTAGGTGATTTTTATGTTAACACTAACATCAATGAATCCTACAGCAGATGCTCGCTCCATCTGTAATTCCAC